TTTTAGGAACAACGGAGGTTAAGAGCAGAATATATTTATTGAGGGAAAGAAAGCTTCTGTCCAAGAGATGGACAGAAGGGGGCCTGAGTGGGTTGCCCCTGTCTGGGTTTATGAAACTTTCACCTGTATCTCGAATTACTTTCTGATTTTTAGCTGTTTTTTTAAGCCAACGGCTTTTTGTACTGTACACAGCTGTATTGCCAGGTAAATCTTCCCCAGGTTGCGGAGATGTAGTTCTCCCAAGATTTAGAACTGTTCTTAGCAAATACGTTTTTGATTCCTGATTCCTGCTAGTGTTGTGTCTGCTTAGAGACTAGTTTTATACAATGTATTTCAATGTATCTTTACTTTTTCCAGCAATATAATTATCTTCATGAGTTCCGGGACAAACTAGATGCTTACCTGTCATCCAGAGATTCACTATCAAGATCCGTGTCAAGATGAATTTCCAGTCACATATATATGACCATGTCTGAAATTTAGGAGTCCTCTGGCATAACTTGTACTGAAACAAAGCTACTAGTGTTGTCAACTTGAATGTATACGTGCAGATATTTTAAAGCTTTTATTGACAAAACTCTCTGTCTTTTATTTCACGGCAGAGGGTCAGAAAAATTAGCAGAGTTCTCCTTTTAAAAATGCACTATTCTGTTGCACGTAACCTAGACTTAATGCTAGGGGAAAAAAGAGAAAAGCACTTGCATGTCTTAAGTTTGTTCCCCTTTTGCTTCAAGTTATCACTGGAAACTGCTAGCTGGCACATGAGCAGTAATGCGAACAAAGTCTGCAGGGTACCCACACTTACTTGGAAATAACGTTCCCCCTCTGTTCCTCCTGAAATTCTCCCATCGTTTTTCAGTTTCCTAGACTTACAGAATCATAAAGGACCCTCAATCTTTTTGTCTTCTCCTGCCCAGTGGGCTCCAGTAGGTGTTGCCCCAGCACCTGCCGGGACTTCTTCAGAAATAAGGAACTCACTGGTTCAGACAGGTACTCCGGTTTTAAGCCATTGAACTTTCTTACCCTAGAAAACACACAGAATGAACTGAATCCTTCTTTCACATTGATTTTGTGACGTACTTAGCTGCAGGTTAACTTCCAGTTCCCCTATTCCTTCACCTCACCCTGTGTTACTGAAACTGTCTTTAAATTCAACTTTGTGAGCTACCCAGAGCAGTCCTTGTATACGTTTGGGCGGTAAACAAGAATCGTATGCATCAAAGCCACCTTTTTCAAAGACTGCAGTGGCTTCAGTACCACACACAAGTCATCTCACGGCTCTCTTGGCTACTGGTGACCAACGGTGACCACTGGTCATCTGGCTCCTACCACCAGCCTGCAGGTCGCAGGCACTTGCACAAAAGATTAAGAGGCACCACATCAAAATTGAGTTTTTAAAAACTCCTATGATGACTACCACTCTTCTGGCTGCTGCTGAACGACTTGATTTCATGAGAGAATGTTCCAGAACAGTCACTAGTGCTGTCTGCAAACTTCAGACCAGATCCCCAGTATGTTCTGCAATATAAAATCAGTATCTTAACACTTTTGTGTACATTCTGCCTCTACAACATAAGATTTTATCAAAACACTAAAGATGGGGGTATCACGTGTGCTAGCAGAATTTATTTATTTTTTTAATTTTTTGGTACCAGAAATTGAACTCAGGACCTCAGGCTTGCCAGGCAAGCACTTATGCCACTGAGCTACATCGCCAGTCCTGCGAGAAGAATTTAATGTTTAAGCTAGGGATTTTTTAATCTCAGATAATAAATGCCAAAAATGATAGCTAGAGTTTTGGTTTTTAGAAGTATAGCCTACAATGATGGATTGGCCTTCATGATTTTGGTACTATAACCAAAGACAACTGAAAGTCACAACATCTGTAAAACTCTGGATGGTCACTGAAACTGACACTAGCAAATCTTACATCAGCTTGTTCCCAATATAAATACAGAGCATGTCACAAATACTTTGGAAGGAAAATACTGATATGAATTAATCAATCCTTTACTAATTGAATTTTCAAAATGATGCATCTCTTGATTTCCACTGCAAACGCTAAGCTTTCTGTACTGAAAATGCTTAGCTATTTTAATACCAAGTATACCAAAAAACATCAATTATTCCACACCAGATAAACATGGGTGTCACTACTGAAATATAATTGCCCAATTAAGTTTAATTACCATGTAATCCCAACTTTCTAGGTGAAATCTTTTCTCTGCCTGAAGTGTGTGATAGCCCCCAAATCAGTAGGGTTAAGGAAGTCAAACAATGTGGGATTCTGCTCATTAACACACACATTCAGTCAATACTCATAAACTACACAAGGAAATAGTTGAGACTGTTTTTATTAAATATACAAAAGCAAAATAAGCAAGCTCTAAGGAGTAAGGTAGGCTACTTAAAGGTATTTTCTTTGGACCGTGGTACAGCACCATCAAGCTTAGATTTTAACAAACCAAGAGCACAGGTACTAACTACATTTTATGTTTCTCTTAGGAGCTGTAGGGTTTAGCTAGTCATCAACCCACTTAAGTCTGTCTGCTCCGGAATACATAAACGTGACAACCAAAGAAATGCATATATTTAGAGAAAGCACTGTACAATAAAACTAACATATATGGGAAGCGATTCATTCTTTTGCATGTCAAGATGGTTGCTACATCTTCTACCACATGCATTAAATTAATGCAGAACAAAACCCTCACTCCAATCCTACCAGTCGTCTTAAAATGGTAAAACTATTTTCTACAATAAGCAAAACAAATAGCAGTTATTTACTTCTTTTAGAGCTCTGAATTTTAGTCAAAGGAAAACTGTTATAAGACAGCTAGTCAACGTATTCAGAAATAGAACCACTCTGGAATATTAGCAGAGAGCCACCTCCTAAACTCTATTGCTAGTACCAGAGCTGTCTAACTGCAGATCAATGACTGGATTGAGCAAAGAGCTTGAAATTGCTTGAGACTAACAATAGTTTCCAAAAAGTGTGAACGTGAGTGCTTTCATAACAATACTAGATAGGATCATCAATTTTGAGGGAGGGGGCGGTGAGGTAGGGTCTCACTATGTAGTTCAGGCTGGCCTTGAACTTGCTTATGTAGCCCAGGCTGGCCTTGAACTCATAGAGATCCTCCTGCCTCAGCCTCCAGAGTTACCAATATTTTTCTTCCCCTTCTAAAATGAGCATTGCTTGAGAATATTTTTGTCATCAAAGTTTTTGATTTCCAATTATACAATGGATTAGATGCACTTTTGTGGATGTTCACCTTTTAGTACAGATCATGATGTGGGCCTGATACAGCACAGGGCTACGATACATCCACACCTAAAATGCAAGCTCACCCAAGAGGGTAGAAAGATACTTAAAGTCATCAATTGCTCTGTGACAATAATATTCTCTGAACCCTATGGAGGCAAAATGTTAGATAAAGGAAACTTTTGCCAGTTTCAAAGCACACACAGCTATACTTCCTTTCTACGCAATATCAGACTTTCAAAATATTTGCTGCTTAGGGAGCGAAGAGCCCCATGTCAGCTCTCAGCATGCATGGCGCTCAAGCTGAGAAACACTGCACAGGCTTTCAGCAAGTCACAGGCCACCAGCCACCATGTACTGTGCTGCCTGAGCAACCACGATCCGGGTGTCTGACCCTGACTGACTTAGTACGTCTCCAAGTTCATGGTTTAATAGGCAAAGCTTCACAAATGCTTTACTGATACACAAACATGTCCAAAGTGGATTATCTGGGTACCTCCTACACTTCCCTTTATGTTAAAACCAGATTCTAAACAACCATCAAATGTCATCCATTAACATTAACATACGGGTATTCAATAGCTTCTATGCCTACATCTATCTCCTCAGAACTAACAGGACTTCTTACTCCAGAGTAACTGCTAGACAGACTACAGTTATTATACAATGATCAAAATTCAGGGGAATCTAGGATCCACAGCAACAAAGAGTTGTTGCTACAGATACAACTAGCGTGTGACACTAGGTGCAGGAAGACAGGCACCAGTGAGGGAAACTGCTCCTGGGAGCTGGAGGGCTCAGCTGGAGTGCTGACATTGCCGTAACAAGGACGAGGCGCTTACATACAGCGGTCGCTGCACTGTGAGCGCCTACATAAGCTGGGAAAGACTAGAAACCCAGGTAACTGCACCTCGACCAAACCTGCAGGGCTAACAAAAGGCAGGCCAGCGCCATCCCAGACAGATTCACGTGAGGAACAAATTAAATTCAGGGCGAAGAAAAGAGCCAGTGAGACAGGGTCTGATGCGAGTGTTCTGTTTCTGCTTTCTTCCAGTAAGCGGTCTAATTTCACAGAACACTGAAAAGCAAGAGTGGGCAGACCCAGTATGAGAGCATCCGGGTTCTCCAATCTTCTGACCCTGTCACAGCCAGGAGCTGACAGCCAAGCAGTGAGATGGTGAACCCATCAGGATCACTGAGGCACTGAGCAATCAGCTAGGGATTAACTGCAGAAGCATGAGAATGTGGCTCCAAACCGTTAAACTTTGAATTAACCCTGGAGAAGATTCTAGAACAGATGAAAAGGACGTGTGCTGACTTAAGACAGCACACTACCACTTGCTAATAAAGCAGGTATGCATGATAATGCTCTGACAGGATTATTAAAACAGCAGGCCCAGGAAACCAACGTGGGCTGCAGGTAAGGTCAGGTCTCTCAGGACCAAAATTACCTGTGAATGAGAACAGAAATGGGAGCAGCTGCAATTACAACGGGACGCATTAGAGCTGAGTGAACCCAAAGCATGACGTGCACGCCTCGCAAGTGCTCAGGAAATAATTTACTGCACAAGCTGCGGGACAATCAGGTCCCTCACCGTTCTCCACTCCAAAGGACAAGGTCTTTCGAGCCCCTTGTAATGAAATGGTTCGACTCTCCTCCCTCTCCTGGCTCAACACCCTCTTCTTCAAAGCACTCACCCCAGGCTCCCGATCCCACAGCAGGAATAGCTCCTCTCCCGAAGGTGCGGGAGTCTCATTTCAAAGCATTTTCCACTTGTAAAGAATAAAATAACAACTATTACTCCTAAATAAGACTTCCACAGCACATCCACAAATTCCCTTGGTCATTATGGGAACGTGCATACATTGTCCTTCTTTGATCCTCTGCTTAAGAAACTTCTGAACCACTCACGCTACTGTCAGTGACCTTGACTCCCTCACTCCTAAGAAAGCACAGCATGCCTAGCAAACATGCACGCCCTAATGCGCCCACCTCACTAGCACGAGTGAAAACTTAAATTTACTTGTCACTTTACCTTAAAACCAGCTGTCAAAGAGGAAAACAAAATATAAAACATTGTACGTGCCACCATGTTTTTTAACTGGTAAGAGAAATAATGGCGCTGTGCCATCGACAGTTACCAGTCTTCTCCAGTGACAGAGGGTAAGGTGCTTGGCATTTAAAATTCCTGTTTTCATCTAGGCACGATAAGACCACAACGTAATAATTCTCTTAAAAAAAAACACGCAGTACCATGTCTTTATTGGGGATTAGACCAGTGTGAGATACAGCTACATGTAATCTTTCAGCCAATGCAAAATGAGTCTTAATCTCAGAGTTTTATTGTATTGCACTAAAGGAACAGCAATTTTCTCTCATTCAGTGCTGAAATCTAAGGTACTTGCAAAGTCTTAGGAATACCTTTCCCACCAGATTCGAACAGTATGCATAATATAACCAGATTCTTAATAAGTAATGTCTTACAAATAAAAACACATTTAAAATAGCTTTAAATGCATTCTTCACAAGTCAGCTTATATTTTTATATCATGTTCACTTATGCTTAAGAATTAAAGCAAGTATATTACTCTGATGGAAACAAGGGAAATCTCATTCATGCACTACACAGGAATAATATTCAAGTTAAAAGGGGGAAGATCCCACTCTTATTTTTGTAAATATATCCAGATATAATCATCTACATGATAAGTGAGGAAACATATCAAGTTTCCTATGAGTCAGATATACATTTTCACTTCATCAGAAGCACCTGATTATCTACAGCTAATTTATACTAAGATGGTATCTCCATAAACCAGAATGGGGCCGGGGATGTAGTTCAGTGGTGCAGCGCCTGCTTGGCAAGCATGAGGTCCTCAATTCAATTCCAGGTACCCCCCAAAAATAAACCAAAATGAGCCCTACAGGTGCCCATAAACCAAAGCTTCCCATGGACTAAGGACGGTCAAGAATTAATGCGCTCGTTCAAAGGATTATGGCTGTTCCTTAAGGAGTGCAAGTTCCACCGGTTAACACCAGAGGTAATCATTTTATATTAATTTATACGTAATTCCACTTAAATTCTTTATCCAAGTATAACATATGAAAACAGTCTTTCCACAAGCAAAAAATGTGGAAACATTTAAAAAATAAGGAGTCATTTTTGAAAGTAACTGATCAGATTCCATAGGCTACTCTTGGACACAGGGTCTTGCTGGACAGAATCCCTTTGTGTGGTGGCTTCTGCATGCACTTGACCAGACCAACTCTTCCGTGTGTTGTTCTACGAGCTCACCAGAACATAGATCATGCTGCAAAGAACAGAGAAGCTGTTAGCTTAAACGTTCCTCACCAGAGAAACTCCAGAGCCCCAGCAGTCGAGGCTGCTTAACACAGCCCAGGAGACTAAGTCCAGCGACAAGGTCCCGCGGTGATTTTAATTTGCACTTATGGACCTGTGCCGAACGCAGAGCTTGGCTCAGTGCACATGCTGTCATTGTCCCCTATTCCCTTCCAATTTTAGCAAGCAGAACAGCACAGCTGAGGCTTAATGGGGACCAGAGCTTGGCGAGCAACCCAAGACACCACACTCCGGAGCTGCATCTAATAATAGGCAGGAGCATCTCTGGCGCCAGGCCCCGTGACACAAATTACCTCACCAAATCCTCGAGCGGCCTGAGGAGGCCAGTACTGAACCATTCCCATTTTACAGAAGACACCGGGCACTGGTCATCAGTGATGGAGAACCTCCTAGAGCTTTCAGTGATACAAACTACCTGCTGCAGCATGCGCACCACAGGCTTACAGCCTTTCGCTTTAGGGAAAGTGCAGGAACGGCTAGGAACGCAAAGGGTGCAAGGGCATAGGCACTGACTGAGCTCCTGAAGCTCCGTCGCAATTCCGCATCAAGAGTGACGTGGGAAAGGCAGGGGGCATGGTGCAGAAAGCGCGTCTGCGTGAGCAAACCTAACAGCTTAAAAGAGAATCGGTGTCCTAACCCTACAACATCCTGGTGATTAGCTTCCCCAAGTACATCTCCAGCTTTCATTGTTTACTCCATCATTTCTCCTTTCTTTCAATAAATACATTTTGAGTACCTGCTAACGCGAGCAGTGTTCCAGGCGTTTCTTACAGACACTTACAGTAAACATTAACAGGAAATTAAAATGGCACTGTGGAACTGCACTGTTCACAACCTATTCACCATCTTCGTTTCATACATGAGTAACATCTAGAGATACAGCAGCTATAACCTCTAACACCCCGAAACACATTTTTGCTAAATTTCGGTCTACTGTTCCTTTACAATGGAAATGTAGGTGATATACAGAGATGTATCAATATAAGCCTACCATTTAATACTTAGCAATTTTTCAAGAAACAAGAGAGGGAATGGAAATGATTCCAACAATTTCCTCCTCTGTGTCTTTTTCCCTTTATTTTTGATACTGAGGCCTGAACCCTTTGCACTGATCTATACCCCCAACACTGCCCTCCTTTTAAGACAATGTCTCCCTAAGACATTCAGTTGCTTAAGCTGGGCTCGAACTCGCAATCCTCCTGCCTCAGTCTCCCAGAATCCTGGTTTTACAGTTATGTACCACCACACCCAGCTCTTATACAGTGATATTTTTAAAAATTTTGAAAAATCAGCAGGAAAGATCTCCAGTATACGTACACAGCTTAGACAAGAACTCTTAATTCCACACCTAACAGTGTCCTTTGCCAGTTTTAATAAGCAATCACTTGACTGTACTTACAGTACACCTAGAACACTGGTTCTCATTAAGGCAATTCTGCCCCAGAGGTGGCTGGGAAGAGACACTTTTGGTTGCCACGACTGGGGGACAAGGGTCCCACTTGCCGCTCGTGGGAAAGGTTGGGGGCTGCTAAACCTACAACCCCCACAGCAGCCCCTACAATAAAGAACTATGCAGCCCGACATCCCCAGCGTGAAGCTGAGAAGCCCCGACCCAGAGGGACGATGACATGAGTGTGCCGTACCAGGCCAGCAGAAAAGGCCGCCAATCACTGCACTGCCACACTCGAGGGTCTCCTTCATTCACCCCACTCAGCCCAAGCAAAGCAGGAGACAAAGGGCAGCACGCTTACGAAGCAAAGATACACAGGGAAAAGTCAGACGCCGTCTCTGGAGAGACACTGAAGCCAAGCAGAAAACACTTCTGCTACATGAAGACTTCGGAGCAGCGTCCCTGGCTGTACTTCCTAGCCAACTCCGTGCCAGGCTGCTACCCTGACAGGTGCCAGGTCTCCTAGGAAGTATGGGCACCATCCGTGTGCCCGGTGCCGGCCCCAGCAAAACACCAAGTGGGTCTTCGGATGCATGTGAAGGTATGAAGACCACGATGTGTGAAAACTTCTTAGGCAGCCAAGTGAAATCATGTTCCCATTTTACTCTTTACACTTACCCATATAGGTAGTAAAAAAACGCTAGGAGGTAAAAAGCCAGTTTGCACCACCCTTCCTTCTGACAGTAGGCGAGGATGTCTGCGTTCATGATGGTGGTGGGGTCGTAGAGCCCGGGGCCGCTCATCACAGGCCTGCTCATGTACCTGGAACAGACGAGAGCATTAGCCCCAGGGGTGGGGCAGGGCAGCGAAGCTCCAGACCTCAGGGCGGGAAGGCTCTCCCAGATCGAAGGGCGACACCAGCCGGCAGGGCCATCCTCCCTGACAGGCAGGGTGCTCTCCTTCCATCATCTTTTACAACTAACGCTCCTTGGGGGCAGAACGGGACAGCTAGCCAACCACATCTGCTCCCTTGTCGGAAACCTCCCCAAAATAAGGGTAACTGTAAAAAGGTGGTCAGGGTTTTCTTTTAACTTTTTAATCTCGGCAACACTTTGGCCTTGGAGTAAAGGCACCAGACACCCCATCACAGGGTGCAAGTGGCCCATTTAGGGCCCTTGCTTTCTTTCTCTTACTTGTTTTACTTCTCACCATGACTATGTATGTTTTCTGTACCATTTCAGGGTCAGACACATCAGTTTATTCCTAAATAATTTTTTAGTCTAGATTTCCTAAAGTAGAGAACTATGTGGTTTTGATAGGCCTTTTTTTTTTTGAGACAGGGTCTCACTATGTAGCCCAGGCTGGCCTCAAACTCACAGCAATCCTCCTGCCTCAGCCTCCCAAGTGCTGGAATTACAGGCATGTGCCACCACACACAGCAGATAGGCCTTTTTAAAAAAAACAAAAAACTTACTACAGGGCAGACAGAACTATGCGAAGTTATGAAACACCTTATCCTCTATGAATAACCAAATGTTTTCAAAGTCACAAAGTAATACATTTTGACTTAGGTGAAATGCAAAGACAGCAAAGCTAATCTAAGCTACTAGAGGTGAGAGTGTTGGGGAGTCTGGGAGAAACCCCCAGGGAAAGGCCCCAGGTGGCCTTGGAGCTGGGCCAGGGGGGCGGGGGGGGGGGGGGGGGAGTGCCTGATCTGTGTGCATTCACTGGTGAACCCGTGTGTGCAAACGCACTCAGCTGCTCGCTCGGGGCTTGTGCCTGCTATTGTAAATCATGGCTCCTTGTTTGAAAAATCGCTTTAAAAAGAAATGAAGAAAACTCTGTAAGAGATACTGAAATGATTTAATTAACCACTTGTTTTTCAAAAATCCTAACGCATTCTCAATCTTCCTGTAGGTGAGCAGCACATAAGATAACCATGCTGACCACAGTGTAATGAAAACTGAACTGGAAAAGGGCGTCTCAAGTATTACCTCCAAATATGGTAGGCCAGGAGGGGCATGTTGAGACCCAGCGTGAGCCACTCTGCCGCACAGAGGAACATGACACAGAAGAAGGCGTGGATGAGGTACTCAGGGAGGACCAGCTGGAAAGGAAAACAAGGCCGTTAGGGACGCCACGGCAGGGGCAGCCACCTTCCCACAATTCAAAACTTTTTTTTTTTTTGAAAATCACTCTTCTCTTAGAATCATAAGCAAAAGGTGCTACTGAGTTTTACTTCCATGTTTAGGGGTTTTTCCCCACAAGCAAGATGAAAAGCACGCTGATCAGAGCTTACACTAAAAGGGTAACAAGATATAACTTAAAATATAAAGCTCAAATTGTTAGAGCAACGGGTAAATTATACAAGTTATCACCCAGACTTTTCAGTTGTTTGCTAATCAACTGGAATACGTTTTATTTCCATCATTCAATAATAATAAAAATACAAAAATGAGGTATCTGATCACATGCAACATGATAAAAAAATCCACAAAAACAAAACTCCCCCTTAGGAGTTTATACATTAGTTTTAAGCCTTTAGCAAATACCAGGAATGTTACATATACGATACTTAGCAAATCACATCACATTACCACAAAAGTAATTTCTCAATGGAAAGCCAACCAGTCATACTCTCAGCACATTGGGAGGGGTGGGGAGACACTAATCGCACAAATGCAAACAGTATGCTTTCTGCAATGTAGGAGGGAAAAAACTGAGTTCATCACCATGCAATCAGAATTTTCCAGGTTTCTGAGTTCACAATCTTACATGGCTTTTTGGTTCCTTTATGCCTGCTTGCCAATGAAATACTACATGGCAGCCGGCCAGGAGAAGCTCGGAGCTCAGAAAGAAAATAAACCATCTGACAGTAGACAGTTAAGGAAAATTAATCCAGGCAAAATGCTATTTATAAAATGACCAAGATTGAATGCTTTCACTTTAAATCTTCACACTGAAGATTCGGCCCAATGCCTTTGTTAAATAAAAATACCACAACTTTTCAATGCACGTTTCAGCCAAAAAAATTATCCACAAGTCACAGCTGCAAGGCCAGTTTTTCAAATGTTTCCTTCATATCAAGGTAAAAAATCAAATGAATCCTCAGTATCATCAGATCTCTCCTGAGGGGAAACTACGGCTGCAGAAATAATTTAATTATGCTACATATTCAAGCCCATGTTCTAACACTCCACCAAACTACTTTTTTCCAGTTGAACGCTACAGACTAAACTTTTGAATACTATTTTAAATAAACTCCTACTTTCCTAGATTACTAACTGATCTGATCTATGCCACTAACCATACTTCCTGCAAACTTGGGCAATATTATTAAATAGCAAAGATAAACTGCACATTTATATATCTGAGTGTATGTGTGTATGTAAAATTCGTAAAGAATCATATAAGCCAGCTTAAAATCTAAGTTTTCTAAACAACAAAATATAAACAGAACTTTTCTGAAACTCAATGACTACAACCAAAATAAAACAGAAAACATACATTAAGAACTCCATTAGAATTTGTAATACTAGTTTAAGCTAAGGTTCTTTCCTTAAGATGTAATAAGCTCATTTCAGCCCTGTAAATTCAACTGATAGCTAACAAGACAAATTACCTGACAGCGTTACGCCCTACACTTATACACGGAGGCATGGAGAATTATCGTGAAATCAGCATGACCCCCACTGCCCTTAAACAATCAGAAACCTTAATAACAGTTTTAATAAAAATAGTCTGCACCTCTACCAGTTCTAATAAAATCTCATACTCCAACATTCTCAAGAAAATCTCATAAAAACCAATCTTCACCATTCTTCAGTGAGGACATTTTGCCATAAGCACCACAAGTATTCTATTTAGGTCACACAAAAACTAGTATCCAGAAAAAACTAACCTTAGGTAAAGACGGCTGAAATGATAGTACTTTCACATGTAAGACATAATGGTCTCTTGTTAAGGTTCATATTTTAAAATTAGTATCTGTCTTCCCCCGTACTTTGGCAGAACCATCAAAACAAACTGAAATAGGGAAAACTGTCAGATGCCCTGCTGTTTAGCCAACGATCGGCACCCTACCCCACCCTGTCCAGGATGCAGCTCCGCGGCTATAAACGCACCCTACAGCTGCCCTAGCAGCACACATCCCTAACACGGCCTGTTCTTAGTGACCCTCTCCGTGGAAAATGCCAGAAGTCACACTTTGGATGCTATAAAACGAAAATGTCCCTCTTAAAGTTACAGTACCTTAGGAAAACACAAGAGCATGAGTTTCAGAAAATCAAGCTGCCTGTCTCCCAATTCTAGTCTCTACCTTAGCTGTGGAACTTTGGACCACATGCTTCCACCTCAAAAGCAACCTGGCTCACTGTCCCCTTCATGACAGTGACAGTCACCTACCTCTGAGGACTGTCATGAGGACCAAATGAAAAAACACCCTGGGAAAGTGCTGATGGATCGGAGCCTAGAACTCAGGAAAGTGCTCACTTATTTCAGCTGTTATTATCCTCGTTACCCTGAGCACTATTCAAAGCAAAAGGCGCCATTGCAGTTTCTTCATTATCCTAGTAACAGTACTTTCAACTGCTAACACAAAGATGTTTCAGGAAGCACACCTGTTTCTTTCTAACCAGAAGGCAGATTCATCTTTTCAAATTTTGTTTTCTAAGAACAAAGAAACAGCTAGTAAGTTACAATTTTTCCTTGTACCTATACTAAGAGTCCCTAACAGTTCTCTAAGGACAGACTGGAAATTTATTCTCTTTCACATTAAGCTGCAAAAGAATACAGCAGCAAACTGACTTTGAAAGTGCTTTTCCAAATCAGATCCTCTAGCACACTAGTGCATTAGTTTTACCCAGCTAAAGTGTATACAAATTCTCACTTTCATGAGGTAATTTTTTTAAGACGAATTAATATTTTCTCTTGCAGACAGAGTCACTGCTTTCTTACAAAGAGCTTTTCAGTTTCTGATCAATCAGGCAAAATTAAACCTACAGACTCAAGGAGAATCTTCCCAGACAAAAAAGAAGAAAATAAAGCTAGATTATCACCAAATCCATCACATCTCAGAACTTAGAGTAATGTATCAGTCTACCTTAGAAAATTAGAGTAGATAGAATGCACCAGAAATAATTATGTAGAGATTTATATACAAATTGTTATCTGTAAAATTCTGCCATCTTAAATCCAAAGGACAGCATTGCAAGACTCCATCCCCCAAGAAAATAGCTATCGAAAAAGCTCTGAATAAACATCACTGATTTATTCTAGAACACACATAGCTGAAGATAAAACGAGGCATGGCAGGTGAGTCTAATCGGCAGCTCCATCTGCATACTGCCTCCCAAGCTGAGAACAACCTCACCACCTATTAGTCCTTTTACGTTAGCCAACTTTCAAATACAGAACCGAGTAATTTAATATAGACGTGCCTTGGGCTATGACATAAAAAATGCATAAGCATTTAACAGCTTTCCCTACTTGTCTGAGCCAGCAAGCAAACATTTGCATAAAATATGAAGTTTCATGAAATCATAACCCTCAACAGGCATATGAACAAGCACACTGAACAGAGCAGTATGAACACAAGAGCCCTGGCCCTCCCCATGAAATGAGCGTAGCATTAAAACATTAAACTAAAAAGCAGTACACACCTTTAGTGCAATTTTGACTCTTTTAATCTTTTTGACCTTTTCAACTGTCTTTGGCCGACAATGTAAAAAGCAGATTGGAAGAATGTTAGTATTGACAGCTGACAAGATCACCAGTAGATTAATAAGTCAGAATAGTCAAGCATGACAGAAAAAAAAAAAAAAGAATATTATTTTTTAATTCTGCCTACTTCAAAACATACAAATATATCATGCCACTGAGAATTCTGGCCATTTTCAAATTATATCAAGTTAAAAACAAATACATTTTTAAACTCTAAACATAAATCCTATATTGTAACTTACAGGATTCAGGGTATTACACTGGTCTATAGGATTCTTGTAATCAGTCTTCAGCTCATCAAATGCTATAATCTAAAATAAAATTAGAACAGTTAGGACCACTCGCTAAAGTAAAAAGCAGAAACAAACCTGTCCCGTCATCAAATAAAGCAAATGTGTGCCAATATTACAGGTACCAATTTACAGTAAACTCACATGTGTTGAAAATAGTAAGAGGGCCAGGGATATAGCTCAGTCGCACAGCGCCTGCCTGTGGCAAGCACAAGGTCCTGAGTTTGAGTCTCGGTACCCTCCCGCCCCCACCCAAAAAAATAGTAAGAACCAGAAAAGAACTGAAGACACATTTATGTCATTATTACCAAAATGATCTGATTCCACTGTGAGGTCTTCACTTTTCAGTTTCCTCAGTGTTTGTTTAAGATATTGTCTCTCCTTGAAATGAGCTCTCCCTCATCTGTTCCACTATTTATTCAAACTCCTCCTCATCCTAAAGCCCCTCCTCCTGTACGGCCTCCTCTCCGGGTTTTCCTGACTCCATTGGACAGAAATGACCACGTGCCTGCTGCATCCCCACGCTTACCACGCTGCCAACTTGGCATTTCCCACGCTGAGTCTGTTATTGGAGCCCAGGTTTGTATCCCCTGGGCCATGTGCTCCTTGGGGAGAAGGGCCATTTTTAACGATCTGTGTGCCCCTCCCTCGGCACACTGTCCAAGGAACACCAGAGACGGAATCAAATGCTTTGATTTATTCCCCTTTGTGCCTAAACACAGGCATTTCTAGGAACGTTTCTATTACACACACTGCAGAAGAATATGGCTTTACTTCACCTTAAGGGTCACTAAAACACAGAACTTCAAAGTCAGAATGTACTAAAAGTCAAAACAGGCTGCACTCCACACTGTGTGGCATTAACTCAGGTGTCAAAGCAACAGATTTACAGGACAGATACTCTAGTAGCTGACAGTGATCACCCAGGGAACTCTGAATCTATCCTAAGTTTCCCCAGGGAGCTGGGAACAGTATCCTCAGATGTCTGACAGTGTTACCCCTTATTCTCAGCGATCAGCAGAATCACACACTGCTAGCTGTTAATATGGTTACCTGCCTGTTAAGGTTCTTTAGTTTTGTAAAAAGATTTTTTTTTTAATTTCTAGAATTTTATAAAATTCTCCAACCTGCTGCAAAAAAATTCCAACCAAACAGTAAAAGGAAAATAATTAAACATTAAAATGTCATCCTTAGGAGAACAAAAATATTTACTATATATACTCCTATGCTCCAGCGCCTAAAATGTAAGTGTGCCTGGTACAAGATTAAGTGGTCAATAAATAGCTAATGTCTAGAAAGGAATAAAAAGTGGAAAAGAAACAAGCACTAAGCTAATGATAAAAAGAAGGTACAGACCTCGCCAAAAGGGATTTTCCTTTACTGAGCTACACACCATTTGCTGTGGTATATGCCCGAAGTATTTTAGTATAAAAAGTTCGAGACAAGGATGATAATCACAATAACTACAATGACATGTTTCTAATAAGACAACAGCAAAATGAATACAAAATTTTAGCTTTAGGGCTGGGGATATGGCTCAGCAGCGCCCAACTGGCAAACCCAAGGTTATGAGTTCGGTTCCCGGTAAAAAAAATTAAAAAAAAAAAAAAAACTTTAGCTTTAAAACTAACTTTTTTGATTGGACATTTCCTTTAGGTGGCTTCAAGGGATTTTTTGAATAAGCTGTTGAACAGCTTTCTAGCTAAGTGCTATAAAACTAGTTTTCAAAACTTCCGAGAAAAGACTCTTTGCCTGGTGGTTTTCACTTCTTTGCAGCTCAACAAAAACGTTCACTAAATTTTCCACAGAAGTAAAAAACAAGACAGATAAATCCCTAAACATCCCAAACTGCACAACTCAATGAGGAGCACCTGCAAGAAACGACTTCTGAATTTACAGCTTTCAAACCATCCACACTCTCAACTCTATTCTGCACAGCGCATCACTTACACGATTAGGGCTAGGCTGACAAATTTTTTTGCTTGTTTGTTTGTTTGTTTTTAGTTTTTTTCCGGTACCGGGAACCGAACTCACGACCTTGAGCTTGCCAGGCAGGCGCTGTGCCTCTTGAGCTAAATCCCCAGCCCCTAGGCTGACAAATGCAACTATCGCCATAAAACATCTTCCAGTACAACAACGAATGGAGGGGGCTGGGGATTTAGCTCAGCGGCAAAGTGCCTGCCTGGCAAGCACAAGGTCGTGAGTTCGGTTCCTGGTACCGGAGAAAAACCAAAAAAAAAAAAAAAAAAACAACGAATGGACACAGGAAGTTTGAAATTTATATTTTAAATTTCCACGTGAGTTTTCTGAAAGATACTAAAACTACCTTACAAAATAAACTGAAGGTTCTGTGGGTAATAGAAAAATGAAAACTATGTATTTACTTGAAACTGTTTCCCAAAAGATGCGGTAGTCGTCTGAACAAGAAATCCCTACATTCTCCACCAATCTGTGGTACGACTGTTCAATTCTGTAACAGGACTTAAAATTATCCACCTCATCCAGGTACTTTATCTTTCAAAGCTTAAACTACATTACTCGTTTTTTAGAAGTGCAGTTCTGGTTTTTCTTGAGCTAAAAACAACCTAGTTTAAAAGTAAAAACGTGGGAAAGACTACCATAGATAGCTCTGTTCCCCGACTCTCCAGCACGCCCTTAGAGCCCTACGGAGGCTAACTAAGGCGGGGCTACTTTGCATCTCCCATTATCTCACTGGTATTTCACCAAGGAAGAGCCTAAGGCAGCCTTCAAATTTTCCATTCCTAACGACAAGCACTTTGAGGTAGCAGTTATTTCTGACACAGTGAACACCCTCCGCATGCACTCCCTGCTACACAAGCAGGCAGGTTCTTAAGCAATCATCCGCTGTTTAGCAAAAGGGAGTGGATTTGTGATACCACTGCACTTTTTTCTCCACACGATACTGGTACCACTCTGCCCCTCAAAGCTTCCTAAGAAATCAGTTAAGATCACCGCGGCACCTGATTTAAAATTTCCAGAGAACATTCTCAATCATTCAAATTCAAACCAACATTCCAGAACCTACTGCACTACGAGGGGTGCCGAAGTAATTACTCATCTTTAATGAATGCTGATTTCCAGAGAGCTCTCAAGGCTTCAGATTTTGTACTAGAGAAACAGAAAGCCTTAAAAATATCTCTGGGCAGAGCGCAGGGCGTGGTGGCCTACGCTTGCAAGATCGGCTACACAGGATGCTGAAGCAGGAGGTTCGCAAGTTCGGGGCCATCCTGGGCAAATCAGGGCGCCTGCGTCTCAAAATAAAAATAAAAATAAAAAATCATGAAGGTTTGGGGAAGGAGCACTGAGACACAGCTCCCTGCACTGGGTCCCCAGGGCCAAGGAGGAAAAGTCGCTCGCGAATCACAGATAAGGATGCGCCTCTACCCGGCAACACAGAAACAAAACCGCCCTAGAGAAGCTGAAGGTTTCTGAGCATTTTCAAAATCATATTAAAACTCCCTCCACTCCATCAAGCTACCCTGAAAACAGAGGTGCCTGGGAGGACCGTCGAGAAACTCCGCGACCCAGGCGTGACCCAGGCCGGGGCGGGAGCGATCGATCCTCGCTGCACCAAAGTTCACCCGGAATACAGGAACCCGCGAGGGACAAAAGGAAAGAACGGAGATTCCGCGAGGCGGACTTGGAAACTGAGCTAAAGTGGTCCTAACTAGCCCAGCGTGGCCACGCGCCCGCGGACACCCGGGAGGGAAGGCGGCCCCGCGCGCCACGCGGCCTGGGGTCGGGGAACTGGGCGCCGGGC